CAGTTGGGAAGAATTTATTTCGATGGCAATAGACTACCACAACCTTGTAACATCTTCTACTTATTTGTTTTGTTATCTTATATTCGTCAGTGATAATTCATTTGTTTATTAATATTTATTTTTTACAATTTAGAAGCAAATTATATCTGCTTAACATGTCTCTCACTATGAGTATATTTCTAATTTGTCCAAACTCGAGCCCCTTGACGAAATCAATTATCGTTGTTGATTTCAGAGAATGATCATATTCTTTGAACAACTAAAAATTGACTTCATTTTGTTTAATTCATCTGCCATCGAAATGTAACACCCTAAATCTTATTAAGCCTAATATGTAATATTGAACCACCAAAGGGACCGCTACTAATTTTTTTCCATTTCAACTGTAACACCCATTTCCCATATACGCCCACGTATACGAGTCATCGATGTCGCGTGACTTTTAAAATATTTTCGTACTTCAAAACCAATAAAATTTTGTTTATTTAAATAAAACAATTTAATATGATAATATTAAAAATGTTCATTAACTACTAGTATGTAAAATATCCTTGAAGTTTGAACATAATATAATACTACAACCCATATGTCAATACATACCATAGCATCATCATATAACTAATACATGCCAACTAGTAATATCAAATATAAACATCTAAGATGGCATACAGTTACTGATGAGGCAACCTTTAATTTAAGATCAACTACACTCCTTACTCCGATTGTACGTTATTACCTACGCATGAAACCATCACACGCTAAGTATTCACTTAGTGAGGCATAACAACATAAATAAGGCATTTTAAAAAACATGAGTAAATCATTATATGATAAAAATGTGATTTATCATATAAAATACATAAACGCATAAAAACTGACTTGATAAGTCAAGTTTTTGTCAAATAACATGCGAAACAATATTTAGTATGTCCAGCATACATATCAATCGATATATTCAAAATTACTCTTTCATATCCCAATGTATGTCAAATGACAATTACGGGTACATGAGTTGCACATAAGTGCTGAACGAAAGTATAGGTACAATAGTAACATTGACACTATACTAATATATCAAAATGGTAATTCACAAACTCATTATGAATACCATGAATGCACACAATGCCGAAAGTACACAAAGGTACTGATATGAAAATGCAACATATGCATTAAACAAAATCAATCGATAACCATCATACTCTAGGTATGTCGAAATGCACCTATGACTCTCAATGCACATACAATAGGCCTTTAAATCAAATTTGCAAATTAAACATTTATTATGAAACATCGATAACTATTAAAATAATATAAAAGTTTATCCATCTATTTTAGGGCAGTTGACACCCTAAAATTATTCGTAAAATCATTTTCATAAATTTTATGAAAATATTTCAAAATACGATAAAATATGCTTTTATAAAAATATTCGAGGTTGACTCATCGCAAGTCGTCCTCATATCATATAAGTACTTAATAAATGCACTCACCTAGCATGCCTCACTCTTGTGCCTTACTAACAAACTCCAACTATTCTTGAACTTTTTCATTGCCTTTTGGTTTGCTTGTATTACGAATTTGATCACGATCTACACATGCATCCATAATCACACACACAAATATAAAATACAATGTTAGTATCCTTACTAACATTTTTACAAAATAATAATACTCAAAAGTACTATTATTTTCAAATTCTTTTAAAATTCATATTAACTTTTCCTTTTTATTCATAATGGGACCTTGTCATAAATTCTTCAATTCAAGCCCAAATAAGCCCAATAAATTTCCGGCATTTAATTTCCAGCCCAAATAATTTTTCATTGCCTTTTTATTCATAATGAATATTAAATTCATTTGATTGAGAAAATACCAATTTACCCTTAATGAAACTTCATATTTATCATTAAACAAAGCCACACCAACCTTATCATCTTCCAAAATTAAAAAATGAACAAAATATTTCACTCTTTACCATTTTGTCCATGCAACTTTCCAAAAATTACAATCTTGCCATTTTAATCCAACAGTCCAAATTTAACATGGAATTAAATCCTTACATCCAATGGTTTGTATTATTTTTCATCATTTTAAAATGTGGAAATAATATTTTCAAGCCTAATTTAGCATTCTTCAAATTTTCTCAAAATTTCTATTCGATCCAATTTACCAAATTTTTACCGAACTTTAATCATTCCTAGTTTTCAACATAAATTCCAGATCAAGAATTTGATTTCAATAAAATCCCACTATCAAGATTAAACTATCTATTTATGGAATAAAAATTATTTGTAGGAAAAATTACCACTTAGGTCCCTAAACTTTTCCCACTTTTATACTTTGGCCACTAAACTTTCAAAACTTACATTTTGGTCATTAACCAAAATTTAGGGTATTACACAAACCACCATAATATGAAACCATCATAAAACAAACCCAATAAAACATAATCTTAAAAATAAGTACTAAGAGTTATATAGATACAAGGGGTCACTAAAGTACTCCGTAACTATACCCTGAAGAACGAATATTGAAATCCTGTGATAACGGTGATCCATGAACGAATTAAGTATATTAATTTTTGAATGGAAAGATTCGAACTTAAGCTTCACAAACTCAATAATATACCACTAATATTATGATCACATCATGAACACCATAAATATGACGTGCAAGGCTCACATTCTAAGATATGACGTGCTTATCATCATTAATATGAGTCTCATGATTTTTATAGTTCGTAATTAAAAGCCTAGACATGAAAAATCATCACCAATAGTCATCAAAACAATAACATATATCAACATCATTGTAACACCCTGAATCCGAATGTGCCTAAAATGTTATATTGGGCCACCAAGGCAACCCTTGATTTTCAAAACATGTTCATTTTCTTTTTTGAATCATAAAAGGTGATATCAAAATAGAAATTTAAGACAATTATAAAAAAAATTATAAATCGGAGCTTCATGACACATAATTTAAAACCAAACAGTACAAACTTAGAGTTATAAATCTGAATACAATAAAATGGGTCCTATGAATACATATTTCTACTAAATCTATAGTGTAGTGCTCTAGAAAAGGTGCTAGAAGTCCTGTTGCGATGATGCTCCACGAACAGCTCAAGGTAATGACCTACGAAAGGAAAACATTCAAATTATGAACTTAGAAAGCCCAAAAGTATAATTGCTAATCTAAAGTAATATTATGTGTCTCGTAAACATAAGTAAGCTAAAGAAATGGTACTAAGAAGCATGTACATGCATGATCTTAATCAATGCTACCTACTTAGGCTTATTTGTTCTATTACTAAAGTATGAGTCTCACGCTTTCTTTAATCCTCTGCTAAGGTCCTTGCAATGAGTCCACCTCTATTAGGTCTCTACCCATACTAATTGTAATCGTTTTGAATTGTCTAAATGCGACACTAACACTCATGTGCATTATTTGAATGTAACACTCCTAATATCTGGTCTCACATAGCCATCATAAACTAGTTAACTGAGGGGAACCCAGGGTCACATAATATAGGTGAAATTCCCACTAAGTTGTTGAATGATCTCCTGGTCTCACAAAGCCATCAGGTAGATCATTGAGGGGGAACTCAATGTCACATATCATCGGTACAATCCTCGCTCAACCAATTATTCATGCATAACTAAGGGCCCTAAGGCCACATAACACTAATAATTCCCCACTAGGGTAAGTAAGGTAGCCTAACTATACTCTAGCATAGCTAGACACACTAAAGTGAGGTCACCCTCTCACTAGCTGCTATATTGCTCGTTCTGTTACCTAAACTGTTATGCAAGGGTTTATTAGTCTGTTACATCTGTTAGTTTATTAAGCGGCTCTATTTTGGTTATTCGTTACTTAAGGGTGTCTTAGTCATTTTCTATCTCTAAAGAAATCTCTATGTGTTCCATGAATTTATGATGATTTATGATTCTACTATTCACTGGCAGTAATACTGACTAGTCCAAACCTAACTCGGGTTCATTACTGGGTAATGCACTCTAGTCACTCTTATCGTAATTCTCATCAACACCCCTTGAATTAGATGGACTACTTGTATGTTCTCGGTTCATTGACGTTTCTAAAGTACACGATTTCCACTATTATCTAATATGACTTATTCATCATATCGCTTGCTAGTACATCCTTTACATCGATCCTTGTTTTTAATTATTCGATATGTGCTCAACTGAAGATACTTGGACATATCATGCTTAGTATTGTTACATCAGTTGTAACTCACTCCTACGAGTGTTTTTAGGTATCTATAGTCATTTATGTCCCCCACAGACTAAGTTTCTCCATTACAGATCATCCTTAGCTCTTATGGGCCTTAAAGAGGTCAAATATAACCATCCAAAGTGGGTAGTATCGATACTCTACTTGCAGTATTGATACCCTAGGGTCATCTATAGCCCTATGAGTATCAATACCAAAAATGACTTCTATTGCTAAAAATTTGGCTTAGTATCGATACTATAGGGGTAATATCGATACGATCCCTAGCAATATCGATACTCCTAGTTAGAAATCCCCAAATTTTATCCTAGTTTATCCAGTATTGATATTCAAACCTATAATTATCTTATTTAAACTCAAAAAATATCCAAAAATTATCTCAAATGTCTTATTTTGGTTCCTAATCATGTGATAAAGCTTTAGAAGGTTAATTAGGGAGTGTAATAAAATAATATGTTTTACATCAAATTCGTCATCTATGGCATGAATCAAGTATAAAACCCTAAAATGCTTAAATACACAAATATTAGCAATTCTTCATGCTTATGAAGCTCCTTGCTTAGAATCCAGTATCGATACTCGAACATAGAATTATCTTATTTAAGCTCAAAAATATCCAAAAATCATCCTAAATGTCTTAGTTTGGTTTCTAATCATGATATAAAGCTTTAGAAGGTTACTTAGGGTCATACAGTATAATTAAAACATATGCTTTACATCAAATCCATCATTTATGAATGAATCAAGTATGAAACCCTAAAATGCTCAAATACACTACTTAGTGTTAGAATCCTGAAATAAAGTTCCTTGCTTTTCCATACTCACTTCCTTTAAGAATTGGTTGATTCTTCACATTTTTCTCTATCCAACAAAGATGCAAGGATTTTCTTAACATACAAAGGGTTGCAAGAAGTGTTTGGGATATATAAAAATCCTAAAGAATTAGGGAAATATGTTCTTACCAACCACTTGAAGCTATAGAGGCTCGGTGAAGGAAAGAAGAAGAGAAAGAAAGAAAAATAAATTAAGAGAAAAAAATATGAGGGAACTCATGTCCAACCCAGAAATAAAACCTAAGGTATCATTCTTTTTTTTAATGGTCTAATTATGCTCTTAGTCACTCCTGTTTTGTCTTATATTCAAAAATCCCTTTTTATGGCTAATTGGACCCAATTCCAACACAATTAAGCTCAACTTGGTCCAATGACTTTCATTATGAATTCTACGATGTCTGCATACCTCTCAGGTAAACCTGAAACTACTAGCCTAGAATTTAGGGTGTTACAACTCTCTTATCCTTGAAAGAAATTTCATCATTGAAATTTATTTGGATTGAATTACAACCCACTCTTGAGTCACACACTTAGAAAACTCGGAGCACCTTAACTCTTATCAAGTTTAGTCCTCAAGGAAAAGGACCCTACAATATGACATGTAACTCGAGAACTCACAAAATCTATCTATAACCCATTTTCCCTATAGGGTTCTATTCTCATCAAACCTTAAGAGAAAACCTTCGAGAAATGTAAAACTATCGAGTCTTATTATGTTTGTCCTAACACTAAAACTTGGAACGTTTCACTAGAACAACGCTACTTCATGATTCAAACTATTATCGCTAAACCCATTTCACTACTAACTCAAACGATTTAACATATTGTACAATTCTATAAATATTTGTTACTTGTTGAACTTAGGTAACTCATCATGCTACATGTTGATATTTTACGAGCACTTTCCAAACACGATCTTGATGTTGACTACCAAAGATATTATGACAATTCTTGACTTCTTAACATCGATCTCTATGCTTCTGCTATGTAACTCTGATTCAATACTCATCTACACTATCTGACTATTTCTCATTTGCCTTGTGGTTAACATACCCTCTACTCATCGGGTTGTGCATCTAAGGTACTCACAACTGAAAATTGGTCACTTTCTTTGCAAAACTAGCAACATATGGCTTTCTTAGATTGTACACCTCATAAAGCGGAGATTTCACGCAACCGCACTTTGATTTAAGGATCCTGAGACTCTACGTCTTATACTCACTATCGCTTACCACTAATGAGCTATTCGATGATGTGTAACACTAGTCAAACAATGTTTAAAGTACTTGATTTCCTTTAATATCATGCTCTAAAATCCATGGTACTACACAACGATGCATACTACTATGTATTGTATATAGTTCCTGCTCATATACAACACGAAGACATCACAGATGAGGCTTGGCTCACTTAGCTAAATCACTTACTATTCATGCCCGAATACATCAAGACAAAATCGGAGGGTTCTATGTACCTCAAGACTCGCAACTCAGTATTTCACCTATAGTAACCTTAGTACTTAGGGTGGAACTCCAGAACTGTTGTATCGGAATGTACACTCTACTAACTTACTCATTGTTAGTACTTGGGCCATCTGCACCAGTTAACAACTGAAACGCCTTGGCACTAGTTGGGATATATCCTAATATTTCTAGTAAGAAGGCGATCGACATACAAGCTAGAGAGACTTGGGTATTATTAATAGTCTCATAGAGATCTTACATCCAAGGTTAAACTTGGGATTACTAAAACTCTATGTGATCGAGTACACGAACCCTTAACTGACGGTGTAAAAATGACCTTATAGTCTTATGTCTAACTTGACAACCCACAAGGATTCTCCCTTAGGGGACAAACAAGGGTGGAGGATTATGCGGCTAAATATTTCCTTAGAGTTGCTGACCTTCAGATCAACAATGAACAATCACTTATTCTTATAACATTTTCATACGTCTCTAAACTTGAAACTTCAAGATCAAAGTATCACTTTTGCTAAAATCTTCTCTCATGTCAACTATTAAGCCTAACCCAAGCCTTCCAAGAACATATAATGTCAACCTGGTTTATTCCACTAAGGTCCACCAACTAGCCACTTGGATCCTCGCTCTTGGATTCTCTACACACTTTTCCATATATAGTTTGCTAGATGCCATAAAGAAATGCACAGACTGATGACTACTACCACAGCATAAATAATTAAAATTGTTAATAACGTACCTAACATGTCATTTGTAGCATCAACGTCTTGTCACTACCTCTCTGTGATCTGACAAACAAGATGGAGCACAGTCAAATCAAAAACATGTCAATCCACGCCTCTACTCTCTTGCCAGAGCATGAAAATAACATTTCTTTAGGTAGGCTCCCTACCATACTGAGCTACTGGGATCGTCTCCCTTGACTGATCTAAAACATCGTCATCTGAACTAGAGCAATCCTTAACCATATATGTCATGGATCCACATTTATAGCACTTTCTAGATTAAAGCACCTTCGTCGATTATTTTTGCTACAATTCTCACACAATGGACACCTCAAAACTCTTTCAGAGCCTTCAAAGCTTATCATAGACGGTAAAGCTAGTAGTCTCCTACGAGGCCCTACATCTGACTTTTGACTTGACTATACTAACAAAGTTAATGTCTCTCTTCTATACTCAAGCGAACCTTTGGTCTTATCTACCACCGGTTATAGTAGGTCTACTAGTACACAAGCCCTCATACTTGGGTTGCCTAATTCCCACAACAAACTCTTTCTTATGCTCTGCACCCTCTTCATGGCCTTAGTCTGTAGTGTCAACTCTAAATATACCCTGGCGGGTCTGCCACTAACTGTGCTTGGATATCAATATGAAGTCCATCATGGAACCTCTTACACCTCAAGGACTCAATCATAACCAACTCTAAAGCATAACAACTCAATCAAAGGAAATCTCTTTCATACTCGTACACTTATTGATCTCTCTAAACTAACGAAGAGATCTAAATCCTCAAACCATTCATATGTACCTCGCTGATATACTAGCCTTTAAATTTACCCATTGATTGATCCGAAGTAGGCACATTTAGCTGTATAGCCATCTCTATAGTCTCTCACTAGTCGATAACATCACCCTTGAGCAAAGCGGTGACATACTTTAACTTACCCTTTACGGTAAGATGAAGTTGTCTCAAAGTCCTCATGGTCTCACTTAACCATTGATCGACCAAAATCAGATCATCATCTATTTAATTGGAGAAGTCATCTGTCTTATACCTCATTAAACTCTCTATTAGGGATTATATCATCACTAATTTACTCTGGGTGGCCTTTATTACAAGCTCTTATAATTATTTGATACGCTCTCGATTGAAGATACTTGGACATATCACACTTAGTATGGTTACATCGGTTGTAACCCATTTCTACGAGTGTTTTTATGTATCTTTGGTCATTTCTGTCCCCTACGAACTAAGTTTCACCATTACGGATCATCCTTATCTCTTACGGGCCTTAAAGAGGTCAAATTTAAGCATCTAAAATGGGTAGTATCAATATTTTACTTGTAATATCGATACCCCTATGAATATCGGTACAAAAAATGGGCTTCTGTTGCTGAAAATTTAGCCTAGTATCGATACCATGTACCTAAGTATGGATACTTTAGGGGAAGTATCGATACTCTCCTGAGCAATATCGATACTCCTAGATGGAAATCCCTAAAAGTTATCCAATTCATCTAATATCGATATTGTTCATCTAGTATCGATACTCGAACCCATGATTATCTTATTTAATCTTAGGAAACACCTAAAAATCATCCCAAATGCCTTAGTTTGGTTCCTAATCATGTCCTAAACCTTTATAAGTTTACTTAGGGTCAAAAGTATAGTAAAAACATATGTTTTACATCAAATTCGTCATCTATAGCATGAAATAATTATGAAACCCTAAAATGCTAAAAAACCCAAATCTTAACAATTCTTCATTCTTATGAAATCCTTAACATTCCAGAGGATTAGAAATACATTACATTGGTGTTAAAATCCCAAAATGAAGCTTCTTTCTTAGTCACACTCACTTCTTTTATGATTTGGTTGATGTTTCACATTTTTCTCTAGCCAACAAACATGCAAGGATTTTCTTAACATACAAAGTGTTGTAGGAAGTGTTTGGGAAGAATTACAAGCCTAAAGGAGTAGGAAAATATGTTCTTACCAACCACTTAGAGCTATGGAGGCTTAGAGAATGAAAGAAGAAGAAGAAAAATGAAAAAGAAGAAATGAATAGAAGAATATATGGGAGAACCCATGTCCAACCTATAAATAAAATCTAAGGTATTATCCTCTTTCTATTTAATGGTCTAATTATTCTTTTAGTCTTTCCTCTTGTCTTATATTCAAAAAATCTACCTTTTATGGCTAATTGGGCCCAATTCCAACCCAATTAAGCCCAACTTGGTCCAATGACTTTAATTATGAATTCTAAGAGGTCTGCATACCTCTCGGGTAAACTCGAAACTACTAGTGCAAAATATGAGGTATTACAATCATAGTATCTCTCAATCTCATCTAGCCCCAAATAATAATATATAAGTGATATCAAAATATTCGTATAGATTTCATCATTAAGGACATAATAGTATGCACATATGTATTTATCAACTTCGTCATTAAGGTCACATAAGTATTATAACACTTTAATATGATATGACCTGAAATCCGAAGGATTAGAATATTACGTAGAGCTATCGAAGTTGCTAAACATTTTTTCAAAACATTCATCATATTCATAGACTAAATTTGTACTTTAAAATACCACAATATCGATTTATAAAAGTAGAGATCTCCCAAAATTATATCCCAAATAAATGTATTGAATAAACCAAAATAAAGTTACAACTTGAATATATATAAGTTCAATGAATAGTATAAGCCCACTAAA